CAGGTTTGGGAGGCGTTTGGGAGGGATTTGCGTTCGAAAAAGTAGGGCTCTTTGCTAAGATAGCGAGGTGCTGAGCTCAGGAGGTTGAGGTCGGGAGAGTGGAGAGTAGCGTCGTCGTCGGACGTATAAGACAGCAGGGATGCGCTGTCTGTCTGCATGGGAGCACTTTCGCAAGAGCTTGAGGAGGGTGTCCTTGGTGGTCTCGAATGGATGAGGGACTGTGGATGGAATGAGGTGGCGGCCGGTGAGGAGTTGACGACCTTGAAGGGCATGGCAGGTGGGAAAAGGGAGAAGAAGTGGGAAGGAATATATATATGGACTTGCCACCCGCGTTGCTGATAGAGTGGTTCCGTCAGCGTGATCCCATCCACATACGGAATCCCCGGCCCCAAAAATTGTCCTCGAATAATGAAAAGGGACTCACAAGTGCGCAGAGCGGCCTTCTCGTTTCCCGTGAGCTCCGCGAATCACCCTCAGTCCCGAAACGGACAGCCTATCCTCATTCTCCTCTCCACGCCGTGTAGTATGTCGTCCGAACAAGCATCATCGCAAGGACGAACAGGAATGGTGCATGGAGAATGCTGTGGGTGGCAGAGCGATAGCCGAGAGCGCATTGCGACGGATCACTCGCAGGCCTCGGTGACGTCATCTCACGCTTCCGGCGCGCCCACAGTGCCGTTACTGTCCTCGGGGCTGTCCTTCCCCTGCTATTCGTCCCTCCGACGCTTGCAGATCCCGCTCGCGTGATCTTCGGTCAGGGTGCTGTACTCGCTACCCGCGTAGCCAATTGCCATACATGGTTCGCTTAGCGTCGGCGGAGGGAGAAGAGAATTGAGTGCCCTTGTATTTTCCGAGAATGGAGATGTTTGACCGATAATTGGTTGACTTGACATATGTTGTCCAGCATATCGTAGGCATGGTCGTGCTGCGGAGCTATAAAGAACATTCTCATGCTGTGCGCATGTCTAGCGGCCTCCGTGTAGGACGTCGTCCCTGCAATAGTAAAAACCTGAGTTTTCATGCATTTCATTATGGCCAGAAGGAAAATCTACCCACTATGCGCGGTCTTTTCAGTCCCCTAATCCTTCTCATTACAAGAAGGTCGCCGCATATCCAAGTGTCTTCTGAGCTGCCCAGGTTTAATAGAGGTGCGGTAAATTATTTTGCGCTTATACCTCGACAGAGA